CGACACCACTGGATGAAGTTGGAGACATTGTCCCTGGCCTGGAAGGTACCTGGCTGGGCGGTCCCATTGCAGGAAACCCCAGCCTGGGGCATGGGAATCCTTTGGGCTCGGGTAGGCGCCTCAGCCAGGAAGGCCAGAGCAGCCTCTGTGATAGAATTGGCATGCTGGCACAGCACCAGGCCTGTCTCCAGCACCTGCAGGAAGTTGGCTGCGTCAATGTCCAGCCCGTAGAGATCCCGAAGCCACTCGGCCAGGTCTTCCTTCATGGCCTCCAGGTACTGCTCGCTGGACTTGAAGGGCCGGATGCTGCGCACAGGAGGCCCCAGGGTCCCAGGCCTCCTCCTGGATGCCCCAGGCTGGGACATGGCTGGATCCTCAGCAGGGGAAGAGGTGGGCACCTCCTCTCTCCCACTGCTGCCTCTTCACACCTGCCACCTGCAGGGCCTCGGGGTTCTCCCGGATTCAGGAGTTCCCCTTCTACCCTCCAAGACCCCAGGACTTCCGGCTCTGCTACTTGTCGCTGGCATCAGCTGCCAAGCTGGGCCTGGTCCCTGTCCCCCCACATTCCTCAGTCTCTGCCAGAACCTTCCCTGTCTGGTGGCCCTGCAGCGACCTCACTCCACTGCCCAGTCCGTTCAGAGTTCAGCACCTCCCAGGACACTCTTCTCTTCCACCGGGGCTGGACAGGTCAAGCAACCGCCTCCCACCCTCCACCAGCCGCTGCGGGGAGCCTGGCATGGCGTCGGCCTCCCCACTCTGCTTTCCTCTCCTCTCNGTCGGGCGGGGGCAGGGCCAGCTCCTGCCGCAGCTCCTCGTCGATTTCCTCCTCCAGCTGCACCAGGGTGGGCGCTGCAACGCCGAAGCGCCAGGCTCGGCGGCCCAGCTCCAGCAAACACAGCACCACGTTCTTCACGTTCTTGCGCAGCACCAAGTCTTCCGTCTCAAACATCAGCACCTCTGGCGTGGGGGGCGGGGGGAGAGGGGACACAGGCAGCGTCAGCCCCCTGCTGATGGGGGGAAGGGAGGGCAGGTGGGAAAGTCTGGGGACCATCCCGGCTAGGGGGTGGCAGACATGGGGGTGGTTTGGGGGTCTCAGGTTCTTGGGATCAATTCAGCCCCCTAGGAGTGGTGTGGGCAGAACTGCTCAGATGCTGGGTACATACAAGGTGGCCCATCTCACAGGAGAGGCTGAGGGTGGGAAGAGGTGATGCAGCAAAACAAAGGATCCTGGAGTCTGGCTGTAGGCCCTGGTGAGAGAAGGGTTAACTGCACCTCGCCCCTCTCCCTCCTCAGCTAGCCAGGGTGGGGCCAGGAGCAGGAAGCAGCTGCAGGAAGCAGCTGGCCCTAACTTCCCACCCAAGCCTCTCACCTCCAATATCCACCAGGCATCTCAGACTCAACCCCCAGCCCAGCTACAGCCGCTAAGGTTGGAGTCGTTACTCTCCCACCTACCAGCTGGGTAATCTTGGGCTAGTCCCTGAGCCTCAGTTTCCTCTTCTGTAAAATGGGGATGTAGTCTATTTTATGGGGTTGCTGCGAGGATTGCATAAGCTAATAGTCGTTAAGCATTTGCAGACAAAGTCTGGCACATGGTCAGTGCTCCAAGAAACACTAGCTTGTATTCACTCTCCGATCCTGCTCCTCACTGCCTTGTCATCACAGCCCAGGCCTGACCCTTCCCCGATCTCACCCAAACCACCTTTGCCCTGGAAGATGGAGCAACACCCATTCTCATCCCACTTCTGGGTCCAAGGCCAACGAGATGAAGGATCCTGACATGTCACTCCCCTGAGTCCTACAAGCCCCAGCATGACTGGGTTCCTCCCAGGCTCCTCCCCCACACCCGCCCACCATGCCCTTTCCCCCAGCTTTTCCCAGTCATCCAGACATAGCACTTTGCTGTGCCTTTGCCCCTGCCATCCCCCTGCTAAGAATTCCCTTTCCCCCAAATTTCTATTTATTCCTCAAGACTCATCCCGAATCTCTTTTCTGAGCCCCCACTTTTACCTCATCAGGTCACTGTTTCCTCCTTGGCTCCCGGGCACCCATACCTCTACTCTGAGCATTTGTCACCATGGGCTGTAATTTACATATCTGCTCATCATTCTCTCCTGCTAGCCCATAAATTCCTTGGGGACAGGGTCTCATTCCTCTTGGTCCCTGGCACCCAGCATGGTGCTCAACACAGAAGAGGTGTTCGGTATATGTTTGTTGAATGCATTAATGAATTAACACATTTATTTATTGAGGGTTTACTATGGGATGGGGAAACTGAGGCATGAGAAGAGAGCTGACTCAAGGCCAATCTGGAAGGAGGACTCAGGCTCCTGACCCCCAGATCCAGCCTGGACCTCAGATATGAGACAGATACCCCACAAGATAAGGGTCTAGGATGGGGGTGGGGTCCAGGGTGTTTACCTTGGATGCCCATCTCCTTGCGACACCACTGGATGAAGTTGGAGACATTGTCCCTGGCCTGGAAGGTACCTGGCTGGGCGGTCCCATTGCAGGAAACCCCAGCCTGGGGCATGGGAGTCCTTTGGGCTCGGGTAGGCGCCTCAGCCAGAAAGGACAGAGCAGCCTCTGTGATAGAATTGGCATGCTGGCACAGCACCAGGCCTGTCTCCAGCACCTGCAGGAAGTTGGCCGCGTCAATGTCCAGCCCGTAGAGATCCCGAAGCCACTCGGCCAGGTCTTCCTTCATGGCCTCCAGGTACTGCTCGCTGGACTTGAAGGGCCGGATGCTGCGCACAGGAGGCCCCAGGGTCCCAGGCCTCCTCCTGGATGCCCCAGGCTGGGACATGGCTGGATCCTCAGCAGGGGAAGAGGTGGGCACCTCCTCTCTCCCACTGCTGCCTCTTCACACCTGCCACCTGCAGGGCCTCAGGGTTCTCCCGGATTCAGGAGTTCCCCTTCTACCCTCCAAGACCCCAGGACTTCCGGCTCTGCTACTTGTCGCTGGCATCAGCTGCCAAGCTGGGCCTGGTCCCTGCCCCCCCACATTCCTCAGTTTCTGCCAGAACCTTCCCTGTCTGGTGGCCCTGCAGCGACCTCACTCCACGGCCCAGTCCGTTCAGAGTTCAGCACCTCCCAGGACACTCTTCTCTTCCACCGGGCTGGACAGGTCAAACAGCCGCCTCCCACCCTCCACCAGCCGCTGCCGGGAGCCTGGCATGGCGTTGGCCTCCCCACTCTGCTTTTCTCTCCTCTCCTTGGAGACAGCGGCTGCTACAAACACTCCTTGTTAACCCTCCCTGACAGGCAAGGCCTGCCCTGCTGAGCCCGCCCCGGAGCCCGGGCAGCAGAGGGAAGAGGCTGGGGCTGGCTTCTCTCACTGGACTGACCAGGTCGGGGCTTCTGGGGAATGGGGGAAGAAGCAGGGGCAGGGGTGCCATGCTCCTCAGTGTTCAGTGAGCACTGGAGGACGGGGATGAAGGAGACATAGCAGTGGAGGCCACAACATGGGTTCAGCCCTAGATCCCTATGTGACTCTCCTATACTACCCCAGCCTCTCTGTGCCTTAGTTTCTTAACTGTAAAATGGGAATTGTAATGTCTACCTGTCTGGGGTGTTGTGAAGAATAAAGGGATAACATGTGAAAGTAGCAGATCATTAGAACACACACACACACACACACACACACACACACACAGAACTGAGCAGGTCCCAGTTCTCAGTGGCTGTCTCGGGAACCCTGTCTATGTGCCACGATCCCCATTTTCTCTGGAGAACCTGCTCCATCCTTCACTCTAACCATGTGATTCTTCTAAAGCAGGCTGTCGATCAAACGACTTCACCCCCATGGCTACAGAAATTCATTCCACAAACAGTTCTTGAGCACCTACTATGTGTCAGGCACTATCGTAGATCTGAGGATACAGAAATAAACAAAAAACACCAGGTCTCTGACTTCATGGAGGCTACTCACCTGTTACTGGGTGTTGGATGACTGATAATGAATCTAGTAAATCAGATGGTGATAAATTCCATGGAGAAAAATTTAAGAGTAAAGGAGATGAGGGTGCGTGTGTTATTTTACATAAGGTGATCAGGGAAGGCCTCACTGATAAGGTGATACTTGAGTGGAGATGTGAAAGAATTGACGAAGTGAGCCCTGCAGTATCTGGGGGAAGAGTAGAGAGGAAACAGCCCGTGCAAGGAGCATGCTTGGCATAGTCTAAAAATAGCAAAGAGAGGTAGGATAAGAGGCAAAGAAGAAATGGGGTCCCAGATCATGCAGGGCCTGGTAGGTGACGCTAAAGACTTTGGCTTTTTCTCTGAGTGAAATGAAAAATGCACTGGAGTGTTTCAAGCAGAGGAGGGACGTGCTCTAATTCAGGCTGCTGCATAGAGAAAGACTGCAGGGGCAAGGGTGGGATTGGGGAGGGCAGTTAGGCTATTGCAGTCATCCAGGGAACAGCAATGGTGGCTTAGACCAGGTGGCGCTAATGGAGGAGAGACAGTGACCACAGTCCATATAACTCTTAAAGAGTTAATAGGCCCTGAACTGATCAGCAAAAAAAAAAAAGAGTTAATAGAATAGTTCAAAACAGGATTTCTCAGCCTTGGCACTATTATTTTGGGCCAGATAATTCTTTGTTGTGGGGGGCTGTCCTATGCATTGTAGGGTGTTTAACAGCATCCCTGGCCTCTGCTCACCAAATGCCAGTAGCAACCCCCCTCTCCTATTAGGACAACCAAAAATGTCTCCAGGCATTGCCAAATGTCCTCTGGGGGACAAACCTCCCCCACCCGCAAAGACTGAGAGCCACTGATCTAGGAGGTGAGTATGTGACTCAAGCTAGTCCAAACAGAGCCCTTCCCTGGGTTTTCTGAATTGGAGCTATAGGGACAGGTTCTTTCCCCAGATGGTTAGGATTTTAAGAATGTGGATCTGCAGCCACGTTCCCGCCACACAGAGAAAGCCCTTCTGCAACAGGCAAGAAAGAAGCTGGCACACAAAGAGCACAGAGATGGAAGGTGAGAGGCGCCTGAGGATGCTGGGACCCTTGTTTTGCTGTCTTTGGGCCAGCCGTGTGTCTGCCTCTGTTAGTTAGGGCCAGGCTAAGCTGCTGTATATAACAGAGACCTCCTTAAACAGTGGCTCACACAAGAGAAAGGTGTATTTCTCTGTCTCAGAGGTAGACAGATGATCCGAAGTAGGCAGATGGGGTCCTGGGTTCAATCCCTGTACCAACCAGCTGCCAAAAGAAAGTTTTTGGCCCTGCCCATGAGGTTGTCCAGGGACCCAGGTTCTTTCCATCATGTTGCTCCGTAGGCTGTGGTTGTTACCTATGTGGTCTATGCTGGCTTTCTAGACTTTTTCTCTTTTCCCAGATTACAGGAAAGGGTGACAGAGAGAGCAGGATCAACCAGTTTTCTTTTTAAGGATGCAATGTGCAAGTTACATACATTAACTCCGCTCACAGCTGTTTGGCCAGAGTTTAGTCATTTGACCACATCTAGCTTCAGGAGAAGCTGAAACAGGCGGACTTCAGCTGGTGGTCATGCGCCCCGAGACTGCACAGTGATAATTCTTTTACCAAAAGGAAGAAGGGTAGAATGGAGACAGGGGAACAATCAATAGTTCCAACCATACTGCCCTTCTCAGACTTTGCTTTATAGTTTCTGTAAAGAGCCAGATAGTAAATATTTTAGGCTTTTGAGGACCACTTACTGTCTGTGTCACATGTTATTCTTTGTTTTGTTTTCTTTTTTACAATGCTTTTATAATATACGAACCATTCTTAGCCTAAGGGTCATATAAAAACAGGCTGTGTGCAGATTTGGGCTTTTGCCAACCCTTGGATAACATGGATCGAAATTCCTTTTCTATCTTTTTTCAGTTGAGCACATCTTTATTTTTTGACCACTCTGGATAGGAAAAGAATTTAAATATGCATGTTAAATGGAATAGAACTGTGATAGGCATCCAGTTAATTCTGAAGGTGAGTTGGGCGAAGATGCATCCCATTTGGAAGATTTAATGAAATAAATAAGATTTGAGCTGGGATTTAAAAAATGAAATAAAAAAAATTAAAATTAAAAAATGAAAAATTGTGTGTTCACACTTTTACTGGGTCAGAGAACATCTTAATTAATGGAAAGACACAGATGGAGCAGTGACAGAGAAAGGGTCCACCCACCCTTTTATTCTAAAGCTAGTTTGAGTTGGTTTGCTGTCAGTTACAGCCAAAATGAATTTGGAAGAAAAAAATACAGTGAAAAAGGTTCAGTTCTTCTCCCCTCCAGCCTGTACAGGTCCTGCCTGTAACCTATAAAGGACATAGACGTTATGGCATAGATTCTGAGCCCTCATGCTTGTCTGGGGAGTCCCCCACCTGGAAGGAGTCTGGTTCTGCCTTTGGAAGCACAACAAGCCCCATCCCTGTTGTCTAGAACATGGACAGGTGACCTGGGTTCATCCAATGAGGCCCACCCACTTGAGGCCATGACAGGGGGCCAATGGGACCCAGAAGCAGTGAAGAATTCATTCTGGGGGCAGCCAGGGTGACATACACGCCTGGTTTCCAGAACCATGGAACAGGGGACAGGAGTTTAATGTCTAATGTTTAATTCATGCTCTGTGGTAGAATTTCAGCTATGGTGCTGGGTCCCCAGATTACTCTCACCCTGCCTGTTTGGGGAGCCTAGTTCTTTAAACTTCTTGGCAATTCTGTGTGCTATCCAATATCCTTTCCTTTTCTATTCAATATAGTCAGGATTGTTTTCTCTTGCTGACAACTAAAACCTCCACTGACATACACACACATCCTTTAGGGCCCAGGAAACTGAACTTGCTCCTGAGCCCTTTACTGGTCCTCCACCCAGGGTCCACATGAGCCTCTTCCTTTCTTCTCTCCTGCTGTCGAATGTATTAGTCTGTTTCCTGTTGCTTATAACAGAATACCTGAAACTGGGTAATTTATAAAGAAATAGAATTTATTTCTTACAGTCTGGAGGCTGGGAAGTCCAAAGTCCTGGGAACACATCTGGTGGGAGCCTTTTTCTTGATGGTGACTCTACAGCGATACAGAGTGTCACATGGCAAATGGCTGAGCAAGAGTGAGCTAACCTCCTCACTTGCTCTCCTTTTAAAGCCATCACAACCACGCCCATGACCACCCATTAAACCATCAATGGATTAATCCATTCACAAGGATAGAGCCCTCACAATCCAATCACCTCTCAAGGGCTTCACCTTTCAATTACCATAACAGGATTTTCCACCCACTTAACACTATCACAGTGGAGATTAAGTTTCCAATACATGAATTTTGGGGGCCACATTTAGCCCATAGCAGTAACTTTAGTACTGGGGGTTTGGAGCTGGGGTTTGGGGAGGGGAACATAAAGCTGCTTGTTTCTTCTTCCAGCTAGACCAGTTGGGGCACATGAAGTGAGGAACTGAGAATCAGGGTATAGCAAGCAAGATCTTTAACTTTCCCAGCCTCAGTTTTCTTGTGTCCTCATCCATAAAATGGGTACAATAACTGTAGTCTTGATACCTCTAGAAGAAAATAGAAAGAACATAATAAAAAGTGCTTTGCAAATTATAAAAAAAAAAAAGACAGCCAGGTTAATATAGGAGCAACTTAGAACTGACTGTTGCATGCAAATAGTACAGTGGAAAAGAGTGTGCTTTAGAGTCAGACAAGGTAAGACAGACCTGGATTTGAAATGTGACTTTACTCCTTAGAAAGTGAGACTTTGGGTAAGTCACATCTCTTTTCTAAGTTTCAGTTTGCTTCACTGTAAAGTGGGGGTAATCATCCCACAGGGCTGCTACAAGGAATCAGGATA